GAGAGAGAGAGAGAGAGGGAGAGGGAGAGAGAGAGAGAATATCTTAAGCATTAAGACTATCTAAGCACAGAGCCAGACTTGGGGCTTGATCCCAGGACCCTGGGATCATGGCCTGAGCCGAAATTGAGTTAGACACTCAACCGACTGAGCCACCCAGGCACCCCCAAGAAGAGTAGCTTTAAATTTTGAAGTCCATGTTATTAATTTTTTTCTTTATAGTTCTCTGCTCTTTGTGTTCTGTTTGAGTTCTGCATCATTTCATTTCTTTGATTTTTTTCTAAAATGTTAAATATCTTAGATTCTTATTTTTTAGCCATTAGTGGGAAAAAGCATGGACGGTACTTATAAAGCTAGAGTTGTATCTGCCTTGTGTTTTTGTTATTATTATTATTGTACTTTAAGCTCAAATTGTTTATGATTCTAGTACTTTTTATTTGTTTTTGTTGTTGTTGTTGTTGTTGTTGTTGTAGATTTTTTTTTGTTTTTTTGAGTAACCTCTTTATCCAACATGGGGCTCAAACTCACAACCCCAAGATCAAGAGTCACATGCTCTACCAACTGAGCCAGTCAAAGCGCCCCTATTTTGGTTGATTTTTAAATTTGTCAAAGATCCATGAAATTGCTCCTGGTCTGATTCCTCTGTTTTATGGGGTGAGGGAACTGAGGTTTATCAAGGTAACACAACTTTGCTCATGGCTTACAGTTTAAGATCATTCCAAAACCAAAAAGGCCCAGATCCATTCAAATCCAATTTCCCTATGAGGTATTATTCTTTATGATGCTGTTGCTAAGATTTTACTGCATACTGGAATATATTAAAATAAATTTAGTTCATTCTTTGTGGTAATATTCTCATTGAAAGCAGTGGTATTAAGTAGGTTAGCTTTTTGAAAGAATCATAATTTTCCCTTAAAATTTCATTAAGTGGAGATGTTGAATTTAACACTTTTGTTTTTTTAATTCTTTCCAAAGGTCTGTAAACAGATTTGGCTAGGATTATTTGATGATAGATCTTCAGCAATTCCAGACTTCAGGGATCCACAAAAAGTGAAAGAGTTCCTACAAGAAAAGTATGAAAAGAAAAGATGGTGAGTGAATAGTTTGTATTTAGAACAAAGGCTCCCAAAAATCACATTAATTATGGGTAAGATTAATCTGACATAAGGAAGGAAGAAAGGATGGAAAGAAAGAGATAGTTATATAGGAAATAAGGAAATAGGTATGTAGGTAGATAGATACTCCTTATATTTGGGCATTTTATTGGATTTGGTTTCGAAAAGCCTTGACTCTACTTAAGTCATCTGTGCCCAGCAGCAGCCGGTTCCTCATTCCCAGGCCTCCTACCCTTTTTGGAAAGCGAAGGATCCTTCCTTCTAATCCTTCTCTAGCCCTGCTAGCTTCTCAAGACATTCTAGTTTCATATAGCCTCTTTTCTTAAAATCTTCATTTATTTTGCAAGTATTTATTTAGTATCTTTTATATACTAAGCAGTATGCTAAAGCTCTTGTGTAGTAATCCATCCACATAATTGCATTTTGTGGTAGGTCTTTGCCCAAAATATCCTCACTTCTCACCCAAGAAATGATTTTACTCCCTGGTTAAGAAGAGAGCGTTTATGCTCCCCTAATTAAATCCATCAGATGTTAATTTTTAAAAAGAAGTTAAAACAGGTTGGACATATGGCTAGTACATCCCTTTAAAAAGCATAGCAGGAAATGTGTCTGTAAAGCTACTGTTCAACTACCTTGGACTCTTCATGTTTAGTTATATGAGCACAATTTAATTCAATTTATTAAGACCTGTTATTCGGTAGTGTATATTTCCTTCTTGGGGGCTTAAGAAAATAAAGGAGAGAGTCACAATAGAGGGAATAGATAAGGTGGAAGTGAATGGCTTAACCCCGGGAATACTGAAGGACTACTTGGCTGTGGGTCATAGGTGAGATATCTCCGCCTTCATTCAGTGAGCAATAGAGAGAAGTTGCTTTAATTCGTTTCCTCTGCAAACTCTGTATTCTTAACTGTTCTCGAAAGGAGACTTCTTTTTGCCAGGCAGGATCAGCTGTAGCGCAGGCTACATTTAGCAGCACTAGGTAGTGTTAGGTATGAATGCAGATAAAAGCATGCTCGTAAAATTTTAGTTCAAGAAAGAAGAAAATCTTTGAGGGTGGGGTGATAGTAGAAACACGGTGGCATAAAGGATTCTCTTAAAATGAAGTATATAATTAACTTTCTGTCCTTTCAATTCTTAATTTCCAAGACCTCGTATCCTATACTAAGACCTTTCTCCATACATAGCTATAGCCTAATTTTTTATTTTCCCAACAGTTTTACCAACTCTGCAAGTTAGTTTGAATAGAACTTAGCTAAGATTTTACATAGTTTATCTTCATTTAGCAAAAGAAAGTGTGTTTAAGAGTTGTTAGATTTAAAACCATAAATTTCCATCCCTTGCATTTATAATGATGATGATGGTCGTGATGATGATAAATTATTAATTCAAACTATAACTCAAATAACTGTAAACCTCAAATAATTACAATTTGTGTTATTTTTCTGTCCTGAGAAACAGGATAGTAATAGCAAGAATAATACAGTTACAAACTTGAATGCTCGGCCTGTAGAGGGAGTGACCAGCATTCAGGTGGACCAGGTTCTGTGCATTTTAAGCACTTGCACATACCTGGGACATGTAACGAGAGAGCAGTGCAGTGGGTTTTTAACATGATATAAGCACTGTCCAAATGCAGTCTCCCTGCAAATCCTCAGTTCAGGCAACTGTATTTAAAACATTGAGACTATTGTTGTCGTAGATCTAAAGGGGTTTTGAGATTGTATGACCAGTTTTCAAACTCACTTCCTGTGCAATACAAGCTTCACTTCTTTACTTTTAGTCAGGTGAGTGTTTTGAACTAAATACAATTATCTGGTTTTATCCTTTGGTAAGACTTGACTGTGCTCAAAAATTGATCCCATCAGTGAATATACCAAGTTACGGCAAAGCAGTTGTATTGTTTGTCACTGTCATATAATTGAAAATAGCTAACACTTGTGTAGCTAATACATGTGTACCAGGAACTGTTGTAAGTACTTGAAAAATAAATGTTAACTCAGTTATACCTCATAGCAACCATGTCTCCATTTTATAGATGAAAACTCCGAGGCACAAAGGGTTGGGGTAGTTTGCCCTAGGTTTCATAGCTAGGTTTCCAGGGGTAGAGCTGGAACTTTAACTCTGTCTCTAGAACACGTAGGTGCTCCTTAACCACTTTGTTTTCCTGTGTCCCCTAAGTGATCTCGGGGTAGTGTTGGGGAGAAGGGCGGGGTGGGACAAAACCCAGAAATAGAACAAAAACTCTTATGTGATCCTAGCTCTAGAGATTAGTGTTGCCAGTGTTTGGGCATTATGTTCTTACTGCCTCTCTTTAGTTTTCTTCACTCTCTTCCTCCAGTAAATCCTGTACTTATGTGAATGAGATCAAACCTGAAAGACCCTAAAAGTCTTAGGGACTTCTTTCCTTGTCCAAACAGAGTGGCTATGCAGTATTCTGTTATACAGATGTTAGCATAATCTGCTGAATCTGTTGAATATTTCTCTCCTGATGAATGTTTGATATGTGGCCAGTTTTCTTTGAAATTCTAAAGAGTGCTGTGATAACATGCATGTACATGTATCTGTGTGCACCTATCCAATTAATCCCTAAGGATGAGTTTCTGGAAGTTGTACTTCTGAGATACAACATACCTATTTCTGTATTTTAGCGGGCAGTAACAAAATTTAAAAATTTATGCTCAGAGCAAATGTGAATGATATATTAATTTGCATTTTTATTAGGTTGCAAGTGTTTTCATTTCTGTGTCCCCATTTGTGAATTGTTTCTGCTTATTTAGAAATTGACTTGTTGATCTTATTGTTCTAGATTTGTAATATAGACCTTTGTATTTTAGACTACTAACTGTAATGTAATAGATGTTTTCTCTTTATTTTGCTCTCTTCCCAAATGTTATTCATGATCTTATACTTTAGTTTTTAAAAAGTAGAGTTTTAACTGTTCATCATGATTAACTATAGGCCCTCTGTTGTTAAAAAAGTTATTTATGATATATATCTTTTTAGAAAAATTATAAGTAAATAATTGAAACAAGTTTTGCACAGTCTGTATCAGCCTTTCTGAGTACTTCAATTAAGTGCAGTCTTAAGCTGTCAATTCTAAGAGGGTTTTGAAATAAGAGTAATGTCGACATAGTCTGACAAGAAATTAAAATTAAGTTTATCATTTTTTAGTATTCCCTACAGTTTTCTCGGTTAAGTGCCTGTTGAATTTTTCATGTGTTTTAGGTATGTCCCTCCAGAACAAGCCAAGGTGGTGGCATCAGTTCATGCGTCTATTTCAGGGTCGTCTGCCAGTAGCACGAGCAGCACGCCTGAGGTCAAACCCCTGAAGTCTCTTTTAGGAGACTCAGCACCAGCACTGCACTTAAACAAGGGCACACCTAGTCAGGTGAGTGGTCTTCCATCTTTGCAGAGACTTCTGCTCCAGGAGGATTGAGTATCACGGACCTGAGAATTCTTTAGGACAGCAGCTTTATGTCCTAGTGGTCATATACAGTAAGCTAGTGGTTCAGATAGTGCATTCAGAGAGTCTTGGTTAAGTGGTTGGGATGTGCATATTTTTGCTCTTTTTGCTCTTGAGTTTCTTTGAATGCTCCACAGGTTTGCAAAGGTACACAGGAACACTGTTAATAGCTGTCTGTCCTATAGCTACATTTAGTGAAACAGGACTCTGGGGACCATCAGAGTTAGAACAGTATAGGCTCTGTGATGTCCTTTTACAAGAAAGGATTTCTTAAGTAGTAGAATTTTTCCCCTGTCTCATTGTGAAGCATGCTTATCATCGAAACACAGGTGGCTTGGCATTACATACCTTATCTTAAAAAACTAAACGGGCTGAAGGCGTTTTAGAAGTTGGTGAAAAAGCTTGTGCTTCTGCACTTTGTGACAGTTTTCTGAGCTGTGACCGGTTTGTTGATCTGGCACGACAGCGTTTGTCCTACACAAGAATGGTTCTGAGGCACAGTACTGTTGGAATTAAAGCCCACCCCTTTTACTAATGCATACGAGGACATCTGGATAAAATTGCTCAGTTGTCACAAGAGGTTTGAGTGAAAGCTGAAGAGAAAGGCACTGTCCCCACATAGAAAGGATGTGTTCTGTGAAAGTCTTATTATTGCTCTCCTAGCAGGACGTCTTGCTTGTGTTCTGAGGTGTAACAGCTGTTACAATACAGCATTTCTTTGTCTTTGGCTCTGTATTTAAAATTGAGAGATGATTTGGGAATAGATGTGGAAAATTTGTGCTTTTCAAAAAATACCAAGGTATTCAAAACTACAAATAAAAGATTATGTAATCTTTCAACTGCCTTTTAAGCTTGGTGAATTGGAAAGAGTGTTACAAAAATGTGGCAGATCTGACTGGAAGCTCTTTATCTTTAATGTGTGGTGTGCAGTCCCCTGTTGTAGGTCGCTCTCAAGGGCAGCAGCAGGAAAAGAAGCAGTTTGACCTTTTAAGTGATCTTGGCTCAGACATCTTTGCTGCTCCAGCGCCTCAGTCAACGGCCACAGCCAATTTTGCTAACTTTGCACATTTCAACAGTCATGCCGGTAAGTGTTCTCGACAGCTTTTTGCCAGGCACGTGTATTTAGCACCAAGAGACATCCATTCTTTTGAAAACTGAAATATCGGTAAATGTGTTCTGTTGAGGGTGTGGGTCCTTATGGCTGTTGAGCTGTCATATGTGACCGTGTAGCCGCGGCCTTTTTAATCCCAGAAGAGATTATACTTAATGCCACATACTGACGTGACCTCTTTCCAAAGAAAAATGAAAAGACTTCTCAATATTTTTTTTTTTACCCTTTTAATGTGGAGAATTGCAAATATTCAAACATGACAATATAACCCTCGTGTATTCATTGCTCATGGCTAATCTGGTTTCATTTCTCATTCTTCTCATTTCCTCCTCTTATACTATTTCGAAGCAATTTTAGACATAAGAGTTTATCCCTAAATATTTTGTATTTATAAAACAGAAGAACTTTGTTAAACATCACCATTGTAGTGATATCACTCCCTTAAATAGTAGCAGTAACAATAATTATTCATTAGTCACTACTTAGACTTTCTATTCTACTTCAGACGGACACACACACACACACACACACACACACACACACACACACACACACAGTTTACTCAAATCAGGTCTACATGCTACAGTTGTGAGCTACATCACTTACTCTGTGGGTACTTCCTCCATCCCATTTTTCTCCTCTGAAATTTATTTGTTAAGAAATCTGGTTATTTGTCCTGTAGAGTTTTTAGCAGTCTGAATTTGTTGATTGCACCACTGTGGGGTCCCTTAACAGGTTCCTCTGTCCTCCGTATTTTCTGTAAATTGATAGTTGGATCTAGATGCGTCATCCATCACAGGTTCTTTTCTTGAAGGGGGCAAGCCTGCCACTTAAGGTTTAAGCACGGAATACCAATCGTTTCTGTCTCTATAATGTGAGCTGTTGATGCTCAGTGCCTGGATCCATTATGCAAAATGTTGATATTCTGAATTTATCATCCCTTCATTTATGAGTTGAAATATTTCTTTAAAACTCTTTGATTACCCAATGGTATAGTTAGTATAATATGTGTTAGTATAATAGAAAGTTAATATGTGATTGATTCTGGCCACATATCAGGATGAGTTGATTCCCTACCACATTTTAATGGTGATCTGTTTTTTTTTTCTTTCGTATCATTATGAATTCATAGATTTAACATTTGCTACATCTCAAATCTGTTGTCATTATCTTTATTTTTTAAATGTTTATTGATTTTTGAGAGAGCACAGTGGGGGAGGGGCAGACAGAGAGATGGGGGGAGACACAGAATCTGAAGCAGGCTCCAGGCTCCAAGATGTCAGCACAGAGCCTGATGGGGGCTTGAACTCATGAACCATTAGATCATGACCTGAGCTGAAGTTGGGTGATAAACCTACTGAGCCACTCAGGTGCCTGCCCCCATTATTATCTTTATTAATTCTCAAACTATCTCATCTTTAGAGTAGCAATATCTTTAGGTTGGCTGTAGCAGATATAACTTCTTTTTTACTCTCAGATTTAACATGTTTGTTACAGGGGCGCCTGGGTGGCTCAGTCGGTTAAGCGTCCGACTTCGGCTCAGGTCATGATCTCACGGTCCGTGAGTTCAAGCTCCACGTTGGGCTCTGTGCTGACAGCTGAGAACCTGGAGCCTGTTTCAGACTCTGTGTCTCCCTCTCTCTCTACCCTCCCCTGTTTATGCTCTGTCTCTCTCTCTCTCAAAAATAAAAAACGTTAAAAAAAATTTTTTTAACATGTTTGTTACAAAGAGCTTAATGCACTTCACCAGAAATTAGAAATTATGGAGTTTTATTTTATGAATGAATGTAAAAACCTTGCAATTACCTAGGTAATATTTAAAAATTATTATTTAAGTATAGATGTAGTCATTGGTATCTCTAATTGTAATAGTAACTAATTGTAATGGACAGAGAAATGGCATAATGTAGTGAAAAGAATGGGCTTTGGAGTTAGAATGAGTCCTTATAGTTGTTTGTTTATGCTTTGTTCTACTTTTTTATAAGGTCTGGTGTAAATGATCTAAAAGCCTACATTGTATTTATATCAGAGATATGTATGAAATACCTTTTGGATGCCAGTAAGCTTTGATGTGTATGTCATAGAAAGTTTATCTAGTATGCATTTGTGAACGGTTGAGTAAGCATCAAACCAAATGCAGAGAGCACTAAAATTAAGAATTAGGTCACTTCGTAGCCATTTTATTTGACCATTTGAAACTTTGCTTTCTATTTTTGCATGTATGTATAGGGGTATTGGCTAATGTTTATTATTTCTTTGTCGCTGATTTTCTTAACTTTAATTATATAATCAAGAAAAACTCAAGACTGTCTTTCTAAAACATGTATTTCACTATTTAATGCACATAGCAGAAACCAGTGCTTACAGAATTGGTTTCCTATTTGTATTTTTGAACTTATTTTACCTTCTTTTACTCACCTGTGAGATTGTGATGCTGTCCCTTCTTTTTCTTTCAATTTGAGGACTTGGTTTATAGTTGGATCATGATGGTATAAAGTGAATCATATATATATATATATGTATACTCACACACACACACACACACACACACACACACACACAATGTACTGTTTAAGATAGTTTGAAAAATTATGGAAAAGCTGCTCTTCGGCCACATTTCTTTCTAGCAAGCATTAAAGGAACTTTTTCTTTTAAATATTCGAGTATTTTCTAAGGGCGTACTGTGGAAGAAAATTACAGTGTAATTTATATATGTTTGTATGTTGCGCGTGTTTTGATTTAAAAGGGGATTGTAGGGTGGAGAGGATCTCTTTCTTAGCAAAGATTATGCTGAGGAGGGTAAGAAGTCAGGAAGCTGAAGTTGTTGGGCCTGTGGTAGGTTTCCCTTCTCCTGTGTTAGCCGAGCAGCGAAACATCCAGGAAACCTGGAGAGACTCTTTCCCTTCACCTTCCAGGTGGGCAGCCAGGCTCCTCTGACCACACAGGAGTCTCAGCTCTCTGTTCCCACCTGTTGTTTTTGAATGCTGGCAAAAGGAGCTGGAGAACCAATGAATGTAGAGGGGACCTTCTGTAATTCATGAATAGCTTTCATTTATCTCAATTTTACACTTGCTGAAATAGGATTTGAAATGACTGATAAGTAAGTACCAAGCTCTTTTGTACATTTTCAGCTTATTTCATGTTTCCCTTGTGTGTTTTTTTGTCTTTAAATGCAATTTGCGAATATTCACCATTCAGGGAATTAATGCTGTACTCTTCCTTGTAGACTTGTTAGCCAGGCGTGTTTATACGCGTCTACACTGCAGCTGCACGGACTACTTTGTACCATGATGGCACGCGTCCTTATCAGTAACTCCCTTGGAATCCTCTTTGAAAACAATAGCCATTATTTAATTGTAGAATATGTTAAAAAAGGAAGGAAAAGAAACCTATAATTTTATCAGATTGATACAGGAAGTAGATCTTAACAATTTTGTCTCTTTTCCACATGTGGTGGGTGGAGATGGTAGGAAAGATGAGTCTGTGAGGCTTTTACTAGTCCTGTCGATTAGATCAGGTTGCCTAAGAGGAGTTAGTTTTTTCAGCCTGAAGTTCTTATTTACGAATGCACACTCAAGTCAGCTTTTTTTCTTTTTTAAACTTCATTGGATTCAAGAAGAATAAAATATATACACATACTGCAAGAAGAAGCTAATAGAGTTAGTCACTTATCTCCTCTTTTTCCATTCTTTGTCTTTTTCTCCAGCCTTTGCAAGAACCCTGAATCTTTATTTTTCCGTGTATGGTTCACAAATACAAAGTCATTGAGAGCTCAGTTCTCACCCTGAAATTTTCATGTTTTTTTTTTTTTAAGAAGTTTTTAAGTGAGAATATTCTCCTGTACAGATTGATACGACAAATGGAACCTTTAATTTCAAATGATAACTATTTAGAAATGCCAATCTGGTTAGCATTATTTTGTAGGGAAACCTGTTATTTTGCAGATCATTTAATGGCTTAAAAGCCAGAAGTCTTCACCCTTCATCTGAACATTCTGGCTGAGATGGTATGTGAGGATATGTATCAGTGGTGAGGTTATTACTGTGTTCAGGAAAAGTCATCTTCTACAGAAATATTTGTGCAGTTAGAAACATGATTAACCTGGGGCGCCTGGGTGGCACAGTCGGTTAAGCGTCCGACTTCAGCCAGGTCACGATCTCGCGGTCCGTGAGTTCGAGCCCCGCGTCAGGCTCTGGGCTGATGGCTCAGAGCCTGGAGCCTGTTTCCGATTCTGTGTCTCCCTCTCTCTCTCTGCCCCTCCCTCGTTCATGCTCTGTCTGTCTCTGTCCCAAAAATAAATAAAAGTTGAAAAAAAAAATTAAAAAAAAAAAAAGAAACATGATTAACCTACAGAATTTAATAGTTATTTTGCTTGGTAACAAACTCCACAGCCCTATGAACTGTAAACTGTAATTGATTTTTGTCACACCTTACTGGGGATCTCAAACTTTTAATTGTCTTGCCATCCAGTCAACACAAATGAGTAATATAACGCAGTGTGGAAGGAACCGTGTGCACGGGAAGGTGTTCTAATCTCCTGTTGCCACATGGTCAGTCAGGCTCAGGATTACTAGATTCACTGATTTTCTTTTAAGAAAAGCAGGAAATCTTGTTTATTTAATGTGAGATGTTGTCTTTTTAAATGTTGGGTTGATGAAAAAGAATTTAAACATGTAGGTGAAACGAAGTGTATTTGTCAGCTGAATTCATGATGAAAGCAGTCAGTTTCTATCTCTCATCCCTACGTTTATCTCCCTTTCTCAGGAGTACCTGTTTCTCACTGAAGAGGAAAGACAGTTCCCATCTAGATTCAGGCTGATTAACTTGGTGCCTTAAATTCTAAACTGAGGTTACTTCTTTGTACTTTAAAAAAAATTTTTTTTTAAATGTTTATTTATTTTTGAGAGAGAGAGACAGCATGCAAGCAGGGGAGGGGCAGAGAGAGAGAGGGAGACACAGAATCCCAAGCAGGCTCCAGGCTCTGAGCTGTCAGCACCGGGTCCTACCCGGGGCTCCAACTCAAGAGCCATGAGATCATGACCTGAGATGAAGTCAGATGCTTAACTGACTGAGCCACCCAGGAGCCCCACTTCTTTGTACTTTTTGAGATAAGATTATTTAAAAAGCATCTATTATTGTTTTGTCACATTCCGTTTAGTTGATCTTTCTTTGTATGGTAGTTGCTTGAGGTGGTTCCAGACAGTAATTTTCACATTATTGAATTTATTAGTGTTTAATTTCCAAAGTTGTGGTTACTAAAGTTTCATTCCACGGTACTTAGAAATTTTAAAATTTACCATAACCAGTTGTTGAAGACACTGAATAGATTTAGTGTCTCCATATAAAGACTGAAAGAGGTATTACAAAGTCCTGTTTTGCTGTAATGAATAGATATTTGATTAGTGGGTTTGGTGCTCTGGTTGGAAACACCAGTGTTTATAAATTTGATAAAAATAGACTTGACTAACAAAATGGATTACATTGACCTGATTTCTTAATGATGATGTTTGAAACACGTTAAATGTATATTTCTCCTGTAGTGTTCTAAATATGTTAAAAGTAGAATATATATTATTATAGGCTACTTATTCACTATATTTGAGATTATAAGTGATAAAGCAGCTTAGGGACCCAACTCCTGTTTCTCCAAGGGATAGATGTATTTCATTTGTTCAAGTAAAATTTCAGCCTATAAGGAAATTGAATTTTATCATGGTAATAAGTAAAAACAATAACAAAAGATTTCAGAGTATCCAGAAAATACAGAATTTTTTGTGTTAAGCAGTAAGCAGCCTTTTAATTTAGATACGTCTGTGTGATGTTTGAGAGAGAGGACAAACGTCTTTAGAAAAGGTTTTCAACAGTGCGAGCAGCAATAGGTGTATGTAGGATAGCACTCCACCTGTCACAAGTGCTGGGTGTGAGGACGACACAGGGAGGGAGGTGTCACAGGTGTCTAGTAAAAGGAGGACTATCTAGTTCAGGTGCATTTCCCCCTATAGTCATATACCCTTTCGGATATACACAACATAGTAATTACATAAAATGCTGTTAGGTTTTTTTGATCATTTCCCTAGAGTAATGTTTTACTTCATTAGTGGAAAATTTGTTTAGTAATTTTTTTTTTCATTGATGTACAGTTAGAATACATATTCATTGCAAAAGCTTGGTAAACTATAACAAACAACTATAACAATAACAATAAACTATAACTATAGTAAACTATAACAATCTGAAAACTCACCACTACAAGTTAATGAAAATGCAGATTTTCTGTGCACACGATACCATGCTGACAAAATCGGCAGATGAAAATGTATTTGGCACTTTTTGGCCTGTTTATCTTGATATACTTCATCATAAGTATTTTTGAATAGGACTTATCTTCTATGTGATTTTTTAAATGGCCGCATTATATTTCTTTGTATGATGTTTCATAATTTAAGCGATCCCTCATTGCTGGCCATTTGAGTTTTAAATTTGTTTTATTATTTTAAAACAAATCATTTAGCTATTAGATGCAGCCATACTCATTTGCAAGATTATTTCTTTATGAAAGCTTTTTGAAGTAGAATTGCCTGCAAAGGATTTAAAGTAGCTGACTTGTACTATGTTGATGGCATTTAACCTTTATCTTTTGGGCATGCTTTTCATTCTTACCACTTAGCATTCTCTTTCTTACATACCAACCACTTCTTATTATATTCTCTATAAAAATCTTAATTCAGCATCTATTGTAGCCTTTAAAGAAAAAAACAACCTTTTGAATTGTTGTATTTAGTTACATATTTTAAGTTTAGGGAAGCCTAAAAAATTGTTCTTAGGTTAACGACAAGTGGGAAATACCAGTTGGTCTTTTTCACTGAGTCTGAAATACACTAATGTCACAAATTTTGCTATTTTCATTTCTCAAATTTTAATATGTATTAAAAAGAGAAGGCTTCCCCCCCCCCCCCCCCCCCCCCCCCGCCTTAAGAGAGCATGAGCAGGAGGGGGCAAAGGGAGAGGGAGAGAGAGAATCTTAAGCAGGCTCCATGTCTGACTCGGGAGACCGACTCGGGGCTTGATCTCACAACTATGAGATCATGACCTGAGGTGAGATCAGGAGTCAGATGTCACCCAGACTCCCCAGAACAGCAGCCTTCGAAGAGAATGTGACTATCTGTGATTTGTTTGGCAGTCATGTCCTTGTTAAACATTTAAGTTTTTTCATTTTTACATGCCATGATGTGAGATGGTTGTAAACTTAGGGAAAAAAAACCCAAAAAGAATATTAATGAAATTTAAACTTCTTTGTATCATTATTTTAGATTCACAAAGCTGATGAATCACTCACCACCATTTTAAATCTGAGTTTCCCAGAATGTAATCTGTATCCTACATCTCAGTTTGCTTTACTGTAACTCATATATTTCATGCTCTTAGAGTTTCCTTTAGTAGAGTCACTTTTGCAGTACTATTCCGGAGGTCACTCAAAGGGTATTGTGTACAAATTTATTGTTGTACAAAGTGTTTTGGGAAATTTTTGGCTACCCTTTAATGAATTGTTTGGCATTGGGTTAAATCAGCACTGGCAGGATTTAAAATTGGATTCTGAATGAATTCTCTTTAAAGTGAGTTGTGAAACAGAAACTTCTCATAAGATTCTTAAATTCATTTGTCATATTTTTCATTTATAAGTTTCATATTCATTAACATATATTGTTCCTTACCATTTACAGCTCAGAACTCTGCAAATGCAGATTTTGCAAACTTTGGTGCATTTGGACAGTCTAGTGGCTCGAGTGATTTTGGAGGTTTCCCCACAGCAAGTCGCTCTCCTTTTCAGCCCCAAACTCCAGGTAGAGCTTCTCCGCGTCACGCGTAAACGTTTTGACATACAAAACTCTCTACACGTAGTTTAAAAAATTATTCTAAACTTAAATTCTATAATTATTTGATTTAAAAATAGTTCTGTCTTACAAAGCTCTGGGGAAACCTGAAATCTTTATTTTTTTCTGTGTTCATCTGGTTTTTTGAACTCCTTGGTGTGTTGTCTAATTCACGGTGTCTGTTCTCTTCCTTTTCCTGCATATGAATCTTCCTTAAATTTCTTAGGCACAGGAGCATTACAGTCCTCAAAATTTGTTAGGTTCACAGAACACATTGGTTTAGGCTGTGAGTAAAGGAAGCTAATTGATTGCTTCCATGGAAAAAAAAACGTAAGTAATTTTCAGGGCAGCAAGCTTGAGACAATAAATATTGTCAGTCTATTAGTCAAGAGTAGATTATTTCACAGTCACTTTAATCAGACTTGAAAGTAGTTTTCTGTGCAGGAATTGGGCTTTGGACAGTGAGTACTCTCCCCTGAACTAAGTATTGTTTCCAGAATCCCGTTGAACCCTTGTTGAGATCTTTGGCTGATGACTTTTCTTTCAACTTTTAACTCTGTGTATTGTCTTATAAAGCCTTTTCTTTCACTTTTCTTTTTTTTTTTCTTCTTTAAATTCCATCATTTACATAATTTCTGGCTGTCCAGCATTTAGAATGCTTTCATCTAGCTGCAGTTTTGGTGAATTTACTTCAGCTTTTCCTCTCCAGGCTTCCAACAGTAAGTTGTGTTGTCAAGTAGGCATCTTTTACTGATTTGTATGTTTTATGCTCTTCCATGGATTTTTCGATTATAGAATGTTATTCATCTTTTAATAGTAATCATTCTGAAACTCTCATTTCTGTGTCTTCTTCACTGTTACTAAGCTCAGACTTAGCACAATAGTGTACAGTAAAAGAGTTGATTTAATAGTTCAGTTTTTAATAATTTGAAATAAATTTCATCATAAAAATTGTGAAAGATTAGTATTGTGTACTATGTTCACCAGCTACTTGTAACAGACCACGGTCTTAAAATACCAGCACATACTACTTTTAATTGCAAAGGACTGGAGTTTATTCCTGGAAGAAATTTTATCCATATTTATTTTAGAGTGTCTGTAATCCACTGATTGATGGGAAAGTGTTTGTGTTCTGTTTTTTAAAAATAGGGCTGTATTCTTTCTGCTTTTAAAATATCTGTTAATTGTGCTTTGCTGTTACTTAAATACATAGCTGTAATGTATATACTGTTTTCATTGCTGAAACTAATGTGTAGGTGTAAAGAACTAATACCAACAGTATAGCATCAAAAGCATAAAATGAAATATCCTGGCTTTAGTCTTTTGGTAGTGCTTTAGGAAAGTCTCTGGTAACCAGAACAGTTTTCAGAATCTTAGCAGGATATACAATAGACCATTAGATGAATTATGATCTTATAAGTCTCAAAAGATTATATATTGTATGCTATAATTTTTATTCCTTGAACTATATAATAGAGTATGATTTTACTGATACTGTATATATATTACAATATTATTATGTGGAATTAAATATTAACTCTTCAAGTAAAATAAGTTCCAGAGCTCAAAGACCACTTTTTAAGAAATTGTGGATCAAAACAGTACATCTTAAACATTTTAAATCTCTGCTCTGGGATTTGTTGCCACCAGGTCTCCATTGGAGCTGTAAGAGCTTATAGCATAAAATACTTTGCATCTTGTCGATGGAAATCCGTTTAGGGAGAACTAGTAAAAGGTCATAGTAATATATATGTGAGAGAGAGAGAGAGAGAGTGTGTGTGTGTGTGTGTGTGTACACGTAGATATGAATATTAACATATATACGTGTAATGTGTATATATATGTATAACGTATTATATATATATACACATATATATATGTATATATGAATATTAAGGTAATTAAGTCTGAAACCCAGCAAGCATGGAGTTACTCCTCTGTGAATTATAGTCTTCACTTCAGGGTAGATAATTACACATAGAAATTTGTTAACGCTCCATGTTGCCAGGATCTTTGAAAATCTAGTTCCCCAAATTACAGTCATACGTAAATAGAAGATTAAAGTTGAATACCATTTGCCAGTTGCTAATTCTAAGAATGTAAGATTGCTTATAGAACACTTAAGGAAGAAATGATCATATAATCTATCAAAGGATTTTGGGAAAAGTCTAGAAATTTCAAGTGTTCTGTTTATTCTGTTACAGGTGGAAGTGCTGGATCAGTAAATGCTAATTTTGCTCATTTTGATAACTTCCCCAAATCCTCCAGTGCTGATTTTGGAACCTTCAATACTTCCCAGAGTCATCAAACAGCATCAGCTGTTAGTAAAGTTTCAACGAACAAAGCTGGTCTGCAGACTACAGACAAATACGCAGCACTTGCTAATTTAGACAATATCTTTAGTGCTGGGCAAGGTATTAAGCTTTACACAAAATAAATACAAATTTGTAATAACATAATCCTCTGAATTCGGTTGTGTTTATTGCAATTTAAGGTTGTTATGCTTGTTTTAGTTGTAAAGAAATTCTGTGTACACTAAATGTTCATGACCATTCGGCACATTTTTGATGTGAAATAATAATAGGCCTTTTGGAAGGCCTAGAAAACTAGGAACTATTTGTAAACTTCTAATTCTAAAAGAAAATAATTGACAAAATTTAATTTTGTCTTAGAAAGCATGCTTCACTGTTCTGAGGATATAGAGGGCCAGCAAATCCAATTTAATAATGCTGACTGGAGCGTTATTTGGTTGTTTTTTATAATATATTCATTTTGAGCTATTTTTACTATTAATATTTTGGTATTAAAAGCCATTCGTTTTACAGGATATTTTTATACCTGGTTTTGATCTTAAGGCCAGTATTTTGCCTCTCAGAATGCATAGTGTGGTAGGGAACAGTAGAGGTCTGCTTTTGGACTGGATTCTGCATCCGAATCTCTGTAGCTGTTTTCTCATCTCCAGTAGTAATAGGGCAGTAAGAGCATTGAGCTCATATGTATTATCACATCTAAGTCATTTAGAACAGTGCCTGGCACATAATAAGTGCTGTGTAAATGTTTCCTTGTACTACTGTCTCTAATTTTTTTCATGGAAAACCCTGGGAAGATGGTATTATTAATGGATTGTTCTCATTAGGTCTGGGATTTTAGAAATTTTTATGTTCACTTGAATGACACGCACCTGTTTTGGAGATGTTAATGTAGCACTTTGAGAATTTGCTCCTTATGCATAATTTAGACAATGGTACAGATTCTTTGCTTTTTGTTTTTAAGTTTATTTATTTTGAAAGAGAGTGCGCGCAAGTGGGGGGCGGGGTAGAGAGAGAGGGAGATGAAGAATCCCCTAAGCAGGCTCCGCATTGTCGGTGTGGAGCCCAACGCAGGACGCAGGGCTTGAACTCACGAACTGTGAGATCATAACCTGAACTGAAATCAGCAGTTGGATGCTTAACTGACTGAGCCACCCAGGTGCCCCCCCTTAGTTTTTGTTACAGAAACTGTATCCTGTCTTTACCACAGTGGTGTGTATAGCAATTAATCTTGTCTAATAGTTTGTAGATAGTTTATTAGATAAGACTACAGAATTCTTGTCTATTTATTCGCTTAGCATTAAAGTAGTTTTAAATTTACATGTTTCAGGGCACTTTGGTGGCTCAGTCGGTTAAATATCCCGACTCTTGATTGCGACTCAGGTCATGATCCCAGAGTTGTGGGATCCATGTGCAGCATGGAGCCTGCTTGAGATTCATATTCTCTCTCTCTCTCTCTCTCTCTCTCTCTCTCTCTCTCTCTCTCTCTCCCCCCCCTCCCTCCCTCCCCTCTGCCCCTCTCCCCCTCTCCCCTGCTCGTGTGCTCTCTCTCTAAAATTAAAAAATTTGAAAAATTAAATTTGCATGTGTTTCATGGCACATGTGGTTAGTAAATTGAAAGCATAATAACTAAGTTTTCGGTGTAATTGTTTTTGTTTGTTTATAGGTGGTGATCAGGGGAGTGGTTTTGGGACCACAGGTAAACCTCCTGTTGGTTCTGTGGTTTCAGTTCCCAGTCAGTCAAGTGCATCTTCAGACAAATACGCAGCCCTGGCAGAACTTGACAGCGTTTTCAGCTCCGCAGCCACGTCCAGTAACGCGTATACTTCCACAAGTAACGCTAGCAGGTACCTTGTCTTTGTCCATGTTCCTACTTCATGTCTTCTTTTTTGTTTTTTAATTCAACGCTGAATAATGATGTTAAATAATGGCTGTTTGGGAACACATTTTTAAAATTCTTGAATATTTTTGTAAGTTTGCAGAAACGGAGTTTAATCTGCTAATTAACATGTAATCCTTGGGTGATTGCCATTTTATCTTACTTACTCAAAGGTTTTGTTACTTCTCTTCCTTGAACCCGTAAGTGTAATTGAGGGTATGTACATGTCTCAAAATGGAGAGTTATATACGGATTTAATTATACTGAGCAGAGAATCCATTTAGCAAATTATATACTTTTAAGGTACAGTTTTCAGTCATGAAGACTAAACACTGGAAGTAACATGTAGCTTTAGTTGTAAATAAACATTTATAGATATGTTTGCAAGAGAACTCAAGACCCCGTTCTGTATCTCTTCGGTGTCCCGCTGGTACACATAGCGTATCCATTACTGTGCTCAGATTCGTGTGGAATGAAGGAATTCTAGGCAGCAGGAAGTCTAACACATTTTAACAGCAATAGATCTTTAAAAACACTTCTAATTGTAACTTCTTCATTTTGTAGTAAGGAACAGACCCAGAAGTATAGGTGACTTAGCTGTGCAGTGTTTTATCCAAGTGTTTTCTGTCCTGTAGATTGTCTCTTCTTTCTTTTGTTATCTGAGGTGTTTTTTGTTTTTGTTTTTGTTTTTTAATTTTCTTTTAGCATCTTTTCTAGGGAGAAGTGGGAGGATTGTAACGCTAATGACTTGGACTCTCTAGTAATTAATTTTACAGCCAGATGGGAAAAATTGAATCCAAAGAACAGTTTAGAGTATTTATTATTTTTCTTTCATTAAGATTGTCTATGTTAGATAACAGTCGTGACCTACTGCAAGGTAACCATAGAGTCTGGAAACAGAGAGGTATATTTAACAGATGGTTTATTGGTATTATATTACAGTATCTTAGTGGTCCACAGTGTGGTCCATGGAACATTTGGGGTACCTGAGACACTTCCAAGGGGTCTGTGAAGTTCAAACTCTATTCATAATAATTCTGAGGGGTTAGTTGTGTTCCCAGTATTTGACATTTGTATTGATGGCACAAAAACAATGGCAAGTAAAAACTCGGTAGCGCCATAGCACAGACTAAGGCCATGACACCAACTGTCCTAGTCATGTAATAGTCACTATATTTCTTATACCACTTTCAGTTTTACTTGTGAATAGTCTTGATTGTTTTTCTTCTGAATATTCTTTTTCTAATTTTTTTTATTGAGGTATAATTGATATTTAACATTGATTTCAGGTGTACAACATAATGCTTTGATACTTGTATGCACTGGGAAATGATCATAGTAAATGTAGTTCGTGTCCATCCCCACACAAAGCTAACTTGTAGGATTTACTCTCTTGATAACTTTGAAGTACGAACTACAATATTATTGACAGTAGTCACCATGCTGTACCTTACGTCCCCATGACTTATGTATATATTCTTACAAATATTCTTGATGAAACAGTAAAGAAATTTAACTTTATTAAATCTTGACCCTTACATAATGTTTTCTTAACTTGCTGTGTATTCAGATAAGGTATACATCACGTGGTTCTGATGCATATTGAAGTATGGTAGGTAGCTTCCGGAAAATCAGCTTGTGTGGTTAAATTGTGGAATGAGCCAGCCACTTGTTTTATGGAACGCCATTTTTCCTTAAGACTGATAAACCATGGTTATTCAGATTTGGATATTTGGCACACATTTTCTCAAAAATGAAATAATTGAAGTCTGTCACTTTAAGGAAAATAACTGATAAAATTCACACTTCCAAAACAAATATTAGAATTTTGGAAAATTTATTGACTCCATCATGAACTCGACAGCTTTACATTACTTTTTGATAAGATGAGCAGTGATAGTTTTTGATTTTGTATAAGGAAATTGTTAACATTTGGAAGATTTGTATCAGATATTTTCCCAAATGATACAAAAATGGTAAAAGATTCATTTAAAGTGCAAGATAGATTAGTAGATGTTACTTCAGAGAGCGCAAAGGAGTTCATTGATAGGATTTCAAATTCCATTTTGTAGCTAATCTTTAGGAAATTATCACTGTCATTTTGGCTGTGATGTCAAGGAAAATATTCACAAGTATCTAAAGAAACTATTCAGATTCTCCTAGTTTGTTTAGCTAGGTGTCTATGAGAGCAGTTTTTTTCATACACTTTTACATAAACGACATATTACAGGAGATTGATCTTCTGTTAAGCCCAGCCATTGAAGGGATTTGCAAAAATGTTGTGACTCTTAAGTTCCTTTCGTTTTGGAAAATATAGTTCTTTATCCTAAAAATGCTACTTACGTTAGTGTATAATGGCTTTATAGTTAATTTTAAAAGTATGAGATTTAAAAATTTTTCCCTTTTAATTTCTGTATATACGTATTGTTAATACAGCGCATTTAAACAAAGACTCTTTGGAGTTCTCGGTAACATTTCAGAGCGTAAATGAGTCCTGGACCTCCTGGCTGGCTCAGTCAGAAGAGCACGCGGTTCTTGATCTCAGGGTCCTTAGTTCAAGCCCCATGTTGGGCGGGGAGCCTAGTTTAAAAAAAAAAAAAAAAGAATGTAAATGAGACCGGCCTCCAGAGTTTAAGAACAGCTGTGATACATGATGTGTTCAGTATTACCTGTTTCCACATTTTATGGCCACCCTATAGATAGATTAGCCTTGCTTTAAAAAATAAATAAAAAGAACTCTTTCTGTATTTATTTTCAGCAATGTTTTTGGAACAGTGCCCGTGGGTGCTTCTGCACAGACACAGCCTGCTTCTTCGAGTGTGCCTGCTCCATTTGGAGGTATGTGTTTCTGGTGTATATACCGGATTTTCTAAAGAGCCTGTGTAGACTGTAGAACATTTTCTTACGGGTACTGGAAGGCAGTCAGAGCAACAATTTATTATCCAAAAGCTCTAGTTTTCTGATCTTCATAAATGTATGAACAAATATTTTAAATGACTGAATACAAATATGTTAGGATTTCATAGCATATTTTCTAATTTTTTAAAGCTACGCCTTCCACAAATCCATTTGTTGCTGCTGCTGGTCCTTCTGTGGCATCTTCTACAAATCCATTTCAGACCAATGCCAGAGGAGCAACAGGTAAGAAATAAATATAGATTATAGAACAGAAAGCTTTGGAAAAGGTATTTATTACAAAGACATCATGGGAAGAACATCAGAAAATAAAGTTCTTCTTTGTTACTGTAGTGAATGGGAGTGGATGGAAGAGTTTGTCCATAAAGACATACACTAGCTGGGGGCGCCTGGGTGGCTCAGTCAGTTGAGCGTCTGATTCGGCTCAGGTCATGATCTCGCGGTTTGCGGGTTCGAGTCCCGCGTCGGGCTCTGTGCTGACAGCTCAGAGCCTGGAGTCTGCTTCGGATTCTATGTCTTCCTCTCTCTCTGCCGCACCCTCACTCACCTTGTCTCTCTCTGTCTCTCAAAAATAAATAAATGTGAAAACATTAAAAAAAAAAAAAAAAAGACCTACGCTAGCTGAAAGGTTGTAAAATCCTGGACTTCTAATATTTGGGAGGAACCCTAGAAATTCTCTAGCGCCCCCTGGTCCCCATTCCCTGCTTTCATTCTTCAGGTGAGGAAGCCCAAGTGTGGAGGCGAGGCCTCCTTAGAGCCCTGCGCCCTGCAGCCACTTTGTGACCAAGGTGGGACTTTGAACACCGCAATTCTGACTTATTTGGTGATCGGGTTTTGGAATTACTGGTTATTACTCATTCAGTCTTAATAGAAAAAACTTACGAGAAGTTTTTTTGTTTCTTATTTTCCTCTCCACGAGATGGCAAGGAAGGAATGAGCTTTGTTACATGAGGTCTTAAAAATCACGTCTTTTCCAGTGCTTATCTCTTTTAGAGTGTTCACGTTTTTTAACTTACACAAACCTGATTTGATTTAGGGAATGGTATTTTAATATTTTCTCTTGATAATTTTTTAATCCTCTTTATTCCTTCCCTTTTTTTTGTTTTTGGTTCATACTGCAAGCCAGCCACATATTTTTTTGCATTGAGCCTCTTTGATTTTTGTCTTATCAACCTGAACACCAGAACTGTTTGCCAGTACCTTGGAGCGTCAGCAAGTGTGTGTGGAGTTGGTGGATACCCAGTAAACCTCAAGTTGGCCAGCTCTGTTTTTGTGTATGTGTCCCGGTACATTTAGAACTAAAGCTTTCAGCGTATGGCATATATTGGTGTGGAATCTGGAAAGAGTAAGGTGCTTGTAACATGATTTGTGCCGTAAGAATTGGTATTTACTAGTAAATCTCTGTCATAGGCAAGAGTAAGAATTGTGGTATTAATGGAGTTTGAACTATAACTTTCCTTTTACATAAATGTCTTTAGTCATAATTTGTTGGTATCTCGCATGATCGATGTTTAATAAGTATTTTCACAGATAATTTTTAAAAAATGGTTTGTGTTTGTTAGAATTCAAGTATACCTAATCAGTGATTGTTTTCGTTTCTATGTGTTTCAGACAAAAATATTCATCAGTTATGATACATGTAACATTTCCGTTTCTTAGCATGCTATTTTGACTTGGCGGAATGAATTTGTAAAATGTCTGATGTCACATAGGGATTTGTGCATTGTGTCGTTTAATCCTTTTAGCTCTCATCAAATAAATGTTTTAATCACTCCTTGACAGCTGAGGGAACTGAGGCTCAGAAAAGTTAAGTGTGGATATGTTTTGGGTACAGCCAGACTTGTGTTCAAATCCTGATTTAGTATTTACTTGCTGGGTGATCTTAAGATGCTTTTTATATATTAGTTGTGTGATGAATAAAGATGATAGAAAGATGTACTAACATTTGTTGAGTGTTTAAAATTATTGACAAAATACTGTTGAAACATTTATAGCTATCATAACCCCATTTGACAACAGAAAGATGGAAATTCAAATTGTGCCTTGGCTAAAACTTGTATTGATCTAACTTCTCTGAGCCCTATTGTTGGCCTTCTCTATAGAATGTGAATAATATTCTCCTATTGGCAGGGTTTTTGTGAGAATTTAGATGATACAAATCATCTTTGCATGGTGTTTGCATTGTCCTGTATGGTAAATTGTTCCTATTATTTTCCTTTCATGACTACCTTGAAGTTAGTTATGTCATTAGAATTAAGGGCTTTTTATTTTTTATTTTTTTGCTTATTTTATGTAGAGTATGAAAGTCCTTTAAAGTTAAGGTTCTATATAGGATGTACATTAATATAAAACATACAGTCTGTGTTCAGATAATATAAGGTAATTTTAGTATTAGGCTAAGAAAAATTTATTGAAAGGTAAATCTGTGTCCATAAATTTTTATTTCAAGGTTAAAAAATTTCTCTTTATAAACTGCTTTGATTTATCACATTGGTCACCTTCATTAAATTGTTATAGAATTGATGAAGAGTAAATGTTAGCTATATATGTTTCTATTGAAGTTGAAATATGAGCAACATTTTGACAAATACACTATGCTCACTATGCTCAGGAATTTCCAGTGTCAAAATTAATATTCTTTAGGGAATATTTCTTGTTGCTTTCAAATATATTGTTGAATTCCATTTGAAGTAGCTTTTGAAAGACGGATTGCATAATGAAAGGTAAAACACTTTACTGATAACATTTCTTTCTTAAAATATATATTTTAATAATTTTTCTTCTGCATCTATAAAGCTTTAATTTTCTTCTGCCATGTTACATAGAAACTTTCATTAGGATATCAGCCAGTATGGCCTAAGACCTTTTTTATTTTAGGATTCTGTAATAGCATTTTTTTAAAAAAAGAGGGCTCTTGAGACCTTAAATCTAACAGATTTAATACAGTTTTCAATTATTATGAAATTCTGTTAAAACTCTTCAATCTCTCCTTTGCTGTGGAATGAAAAGTCTTTCTTATTTCCCTAACTTCATTTTAATGAATGATTTTTTTAAAAAATAATTTTAGAGAGAGTGAGGGGAGAGGGGCAGAAGGAGAGAGAGAACCTTTACACAGGCTCTACATGCAGCTCCAGAGCCCGACGCAGGGCTCGATCCCACGATTCTGGGGCCATGACCTGGGCCAAAATCAAGAGTCAGATGCTCAACTGACTGAGCCACATGAATGAATGAGCAAAGATTTTAAAGATTTTTTTACCCCCCAGGAGATAAACTTAATAGAGATGTAGAGCTGAAAATCACAGTAGCATCTAGGCTAGTGTCCTTGTTTTATTATCTAGGGGGAGACTGGTTTGATGGGTTTGCCTTAAGGGTTCAAAGTTAATTAACGGCACAAATATTTGTACCTAGAACTCTTCTAAATTAGCATAGTTTCCACTGGTTCCACCCATTCCACTCATTAAGAATATACCTAAGAGAAATGAAAATGTACGTCCGCATAGAAACTGGCGCACAGATGTTCCGTTGCAGCATTATTCATAATAGCCAAAGGAAGGAAACAACTCAAAATGTCCATCAACTGATGAAGGGGTAGACCAGATGTGTTATAATCATACAATGGAATTTGCTTGATAATAAAAAGTAATGAAATACTGACGAAAAATAATGAAGCAGACATGCTGCAACATCAGGCTAAAATAAAGGAAGCTAGTCACAAAATAATGGGTAACTTGTGATTCCTTATACATGGTGGTGCATCCAGAATGGGCATTCCAGCATTCCGGGGCTAGAACTTGAGAGGGCATCGTTGTTGCAGGCTGAGGCAGCAGCAATTAATATTGGTTCACAGTCACTGTTGACTAAAGGTCAGTTTTTATCAGAGTGTATTTTGTACAGCATGTCTCTCGAGATGTTATCAAATACTTCATGGGAAAGGGTTCTATGCTCAGATATACATGGGAAATGCTGGTATAAACAATTTAACCGGCATTTTATTGTAGAACTTCTCAAGAGACTTAACGTGCTGTACGAAAGGAGATAAACATAAAGTGACCTACCTTATTTATTATAGAACCCTTCCCCCGAATTACCTCTTTGTTGAATTCATAACACAGTACTGGTGTATCTTTTAAGTACACATCTTTTAAAGTGATTTGCAAGTAAAATACATTCATTGAATATTTACGTCATTTTAAAAATTTTATTGTTAAATTTATTTTTACTGCAGCTTTGTAAATAAAGTAGGTATTGTTATCCCTCTACCTGTACCCTCTATTTGCAAATGAGGAAACTGAAGCCTGTAGAGGTTACATAATCTCTTGTAGTTAGAAAATGACAGAACCAAGACTCACAACCACTCTTTTCTCCCAATTGCTCTGTTTCCCCAAATTTAATTGGTAAAGTTTGCTAATGTAAAAAGCATACATAGATGGACCTGTATTTTAGAAACAATTCCACTCCAGAAGGTTAAAACAAACAAAAAGTTTCTAGTACTTAACAACCTAAGCTTGTTTTCTGTTCATTACGTTTATTTGTATGTAACCTCTCTGGCCTCAGTTATGCCAGGTAAGATTTGCAGAAGATGCACTTCTCTCCTCTCTCTTTTCAGCCATTAACTTTTTCAGTTGAAAGTTGCACTTACCTTTCTAATGAACTGCATTGAGTAATTTCTCCCTTTCATAATACGTAGTTCGCTTGAGTTATCTTTATGTATTTTTAGTTAGTGTACAGAGTTGTAAAGAAAACAGTCAAACATCATCCAGGTGCTGTCTGCAAGATCCGACTTTCTAGAGGCAAGAGGTAGATTCTAGATCATTTTAGATGATCCTGCGAATAGCAATTTGGGGTGTAATTCATGAGACCTACAAAGCCTTGTTATGGACACAGTTGTATCTTGATACGAAAAATACGTTAGCATTTATTTAAAAGTGGATTTCATAAATGTTTTTTTTCATTTGATATTTATTTTTCTGGTATTTATTATTGGCAGTCTCCCTTTTACTTCAAACAGGTTAAATATTACAGTGTCGTGAATATAGTTGAAAGTAAAAAAACTCTTGGTGGATATGTTTTTATATGTATTCTTATGCTGCCTACTTTGTAACAGTGTATTCTAATTTTAAAAGTTTTTAATGAAACAGATTTGTTTTGACAATAGTTAACCATAAGTTAATTGACATTGGTCTCTCTATGGCTTTCCGTAAGGCCTTTCTGGAGCAATGCATTCTCAAGTGTTCCCTCACGCTCATTTTGGTAGGTGGCCACAACTAATACCTAGATTTGTGTGGCAATCTGTCTACCTGCTTGTGGAAGCTTCTGCTAGTGTTCTGGATCCCTGCATGTGGAATTGAGTTTTTTCCATGTTTTAAAATGGAGTGGGCATGGATGTGTGGCATCGGGGTTACATTATATTTAAAGTTACATGAAAATTGTGGTGATTTGTTTTTAACGCTGAAAAGCATTGTTGCTTACCTCCATGGTCACATTAGAATGTTAATAGCTTTTTTGATTCTTTTTCTTGAGTTTGATTTCATAGTACTTTGACACCTTTTCGACACACCAAACCATTTTACCACATTATTCCATGGAGTTTGGTTTTGCTTAACTGTATACAAGTTGCGCTTTTTAGTGCTTTCTTAAAAGTGATTTGTCAAAGTTCGTCAGTGCGTTGTTGTCTGTTATGAAACCCTTCTGTTTCCCTTGCAGTGTGCTTATTATTCTTTAGTTCACTTGCTTCCTAGTGGCTTGTTTTTCCTTTTTGTCATCAATAGTAATTTCAAGAAATTTGGCATTCTAATTAGGTTCATTGAGAAAAATTGCCTTGATATAAACAATAGGATTATGAAGATTACTTTGGGCAGTATCTGTAACATGACTCTCAGGTTTTTTTCAATAAAATATAAGTCTATGTGACATTTTTAGTTATTAATTCCTATGCCTTAAATCAGAGGTCAAATTGGTAAAATTTTTTATATCAGGAAATTCAGTGAATTGCCACGTTTTTGATAGCATCATGCCAACACTATTTACTGTTATAATTACTAATATTCCGTATTAAAAGCCCCATTATTGGCTCTTACTTTACTGAGACTTTTTCTAGGACATTATTCAGAAGGTTCTGTGTTTAATCTTCACTAGTAGTAAGTAATAAATTGTTTTACTACTACATGTGTTTCTGTGATGCAGATTCGATTATAAGTAATTTATAAGTGGGGGAAGGATGGCAGCATTACCACATATGTACTGGTTGTTCACACATGGATTTCAGTGCGGTATTGATCACAGTGCTCATTCACCCTACATCCATCTTTTCTAAGAATGCTTATTTCACTTCCTTTTCAGTCTTTGTGCATTTTGCCCCAATTTCTTTAACTCAGCAGTCCTAACCTTAAACCCCGTATCCAGAGCAGTCTGTTTATCTTCCAAACAAGAAATGGGTATCCATATATATTTCTTTTGGAATTGATGTATTGGGAACCTCACATATTCTTTTAATTTTGTGGGTAGTTTTATTAGAGAAACCCCTCCCCCTCCTACCCGTTTTGGGCTCTGGTTACAAAGCTGCATAGGTTTTGAGTGGCCTGCTTCTAACCCCATTTCTCCTATAAGTCTTGTTAATTTTGGTGAACTATTTTTTAGAGGTCTAAAAAAATTTTTTTCAGAACATACTTTATTACATTATAGTAGACAGTTCAGTGGACAAAACTAAATTTGGGGCCATTTTACGTATATAGCAAAATGAAACTAAAAAATGTATGCTAGGATACATGTGAATTGCATGATGATTAAAAGTTGACTGCTATTTATTTAGACTTGAACTTTCTGTAATTATTTTGAGAAGTTTTCTTGTGATTTCAAATGATAGTTTTATTCTTCGTTGGGTTTCAGGAGAACAAAATGTTATAGATTGTGTTCAACTGTAGAGTGCTAAAGCTTACTGCTAACTTTGTTAAGAGTTTTGGAATTTGAAATGCCTTTAATGTGCATCTTAATATTTTTCGAGGCAAATTATTCTGTAATATGTGGTATGAGAAACAAAGCCTGCTCTGTTGTGTGGAAATGATCAGCCCTTGCTTTCTCTGTCAGCTGCGACCTTTGGCACCGCGTCCATGAGCATGCCTGCGGGGTTTGGGACTCCTGCGCCCTACAGTCTTCCCACCAGCTTTAGTGGCAGCTTCCAGCAGCCTGCCTTCCCGGCCCAAGCAGCTTTCCCTCAGCAGACAGCGTTTTCTCAACAGCCCAATGGTAAGATCCAGCACTCGACTAGCTGTAAGTCCACCTCAGATGTCCTCCGTGTATCGTGACGCTGTATGTTTGGACAAAGAGGCTCGTCTAAAGAATGCCATGGTATTGGCATTGTCTGCTAACGTTTACTACGCGAATATAGACGCCCTTGGTGATTTGGGCCTTGGAAAGTGGAGTGATTTGGTGAGATCTTGTAACCAGGTTATAGATTTAGGAGAAATCAGAGACTCTCTAAAGACTACCCCTTCTTCTCAGAATCCCCAGTGTCTGTCTTAATAGTATATCTATGTTCCGATGTTCCTCTTGATTTTAAAAGACCTTGAGTGTTTTTGTTTTGTGTGTGTATTTTTTGTATAAATTAATTTATTTTGGTGGTGTAGACCAAATTTCCAATTAGGTAACTATAGAGTTTGTTACTTGTTTTCAGGAACTTTCAGTAGAGACCAGGGTTGTTTTTTTTACCCATTAAGTTCATTTGCTAAAGTTTGAAAGTCCGTAGATTTGAAGATTATTCTTAAATTATAACTGTGTGTTTTCTTTTTTGAAGTCAGGTAAAAATTGGGTCCGGGTCCATGGCAGAGCCATAATGATAAAATATTTCCTAAGGAATACTGCGCTGTTCACACGAAACCATTGTGTTGCACTCAGAGCCCGTCTCAGATAGTCCGTCCCAGGCTCATCTATTAACTCCATCCTTTGAAATGCCAGCAGTTGACGTAGCTGAGAAAGATTAGAATTAACCATTTCTGAGGAGCTGTGTGAAAGCTCTTTTGAGATGTGCCACAGGAAGTTCTGTCTCTGGTATTTGAAAGAGCATGAGACTCAACAATTTCATATTGGTACTTTACTATTGCCCTGGTGGGAATTCCTCTGAAACTCCTTCTGAAGTTTTACAAGTTACCAGATTGTCTCTTAAAGGTATGGCTTATAATTGGTGGTTCTGTTTTAACAAGGTGCAGGTTTTGCAGCATTTGGACAAAGCAAGCCAGTGGTAACCCCTTTTGGTCAAGTTGCAGCTGCTGGAGTATCTAGTAATCCTTTTATGGTAAGTGAGACACAGTTTTAAGCACTTGCAGAAGTTGTTGTGTATTATTTGCAGATTAGGAAAAGCAGGATGTGACTCTGCTAGATGCTGTTATTCTATTGATGTCATGTGATGAGATTTTACAAATTGAGACGGCTGTCATGCACGATCCTTTTGTGATTTAAAAGCCACACATTAATCAGTTGCAGATCAAAACATGGACAGTAAATAAGCTATTTTAGAACTTGAGACTTGTCTGCTTTCTTGTCAACATAACATTTTATGAGTGGCTGTAGGTTTAGTGAACAGTATGAAAAGGGCTTGAAGTCGGAGGTTTGGTTTGAATCATAAATGCATTTTCTTAAGGGCCAAGTCCTTCCTGAGAATCTGTTATGAGAGTTATATGAAGTAATGGGTATTAAAGACCACGTAATAGTTTTATTATAATATGTTGCTGATAACAATAATGAATAAATGTAATTGCCAGTGGTTATAAAGGAATTTCTAATGTAAGTACTGTTTAATTAAATCAGAGTTAATCAAATAAAGTTTATTTTCCTATTTTTTCCACATATACCACTCTTACATGTCTGTTTCGTCTTATGTTTTCCTTTAGACTGGTGCACCAACAGGACAGTTTCCAACGGGAAGCTCATCAACCAATCCTTTCTTATAGCCTTATATAGACACTTTACTGGAACGAACTTTTACGTGGTCACATTACATCTCTCCGCCTCTTGCACTGTTGTCTTGTTTCACTGATCTTAGCTTTAAACACAAGAGAAGTCTTTAAAAAGCCTGCATTGTGTATTAAACACCAGGTAATATGTGCAAAACAGAGGGCTCCAGTAACAACTTTTAACCTGTGAATTGGCAGAAAAAGGTAGCGGTATCATGTATATTAAAAATTGGCTAATATTAAGTTATTGCAGATACCACATTCATTATGCTGCAGTACTGTACATATTTTTCTTAGAAATTAGCTATTTGTGCATATCAGTATTTGTAACTTTAACACATTGTTATGTGAGAAATGTTACTGGGGAAATAGATCAGCCACTTTTAAGGTGCTGTCATATATCTTGGAATGAATGACCTAAAATCATTTTAACCATTGCTACTGGAAAGTTACAAAGTCAAAATTGGAAGGTTTTATTCATTCTTGAATTTTTCCTTTCTAAGAGCTCTTCTATTTATACGTACCTAAATTCTTTAAAAATGTAGAGGGATACCTGTCTGCATAATAAAGCTGATCATGTTTTGCTACAGTTTGCAGGTGAAAAAAATAAATATTAGAAAATATGCTATCGTTTTTGTGTTCTTGCTGCAATGCCTTTACCAAAGTGGCCTTAAAATATGAGTAGTGAATTGAGAACATCTTGGATTCTTAAATTAGAATTGCAGAAGACTTCTAGTGACTAACTTTTATGTCTAAAAGAGAAAATTTTATAAAAAGGCCATGTAGAAAATTTATTAAAACTACTATGACTGCTATATTCAGGAATATGTCAGTGGTAAAGCATTTAAATGTAGCTTGTCAGATTCACCGTAATCCTTCTAATTTCTTTGCAACTTCTTAATTTTGTGAAAATTTGTATATATGAAGAATTTGCATGTATGTGTATTTACAAATTTTTTTAAGTATCTTGAATTCTCAGACTGCAGAAGTCCTATTTTAACTATTGATTTTTAAACAAAAATATTGTCTTTGAATGTATTGGAAGCAGACATGCATTAACTGTGACATGATTGCACCTCATTTTTTTTTCCTTTGTTTGGATAAACTGATATTGTTAAAATAGGACATTTATTTATGTTCATATCTGGGGGGAAACAACCTGGAACCCAGTGTTACCTTAAAGTTATAGAATACTTTGTTTAAAAAGGCAACAATACTAATGTTAGGTTATATCTTTTTGTTAATACTCAAGACATGAACTTGTTTAAATATTTATGTACAGTGATGCCTCATTCATCAGGCCATAATCTAGAAGCCGCCTCAAAACCGAACACAGCTGAGAAACTTGGAATTTTAATTTTTCTTAAATGCCTTTGAGCAACGCACATGAGTCACAGAGTCTCTACGTGTTAGAGCTCATGCATTTGTTTTTATGCGAAAGTTTGATCATTTGATTTACCAGCCCATAGCATATTTAAGTTCAGAAGTGGTGGTTTGGAAGGATACAGAAAAGCTGTGGAAAACTGTTGACCATTTAGTATAAGGACAGCTAGGCCAGCCTAGAGGATGTCGCCGTATGACATCATCATCTGACAGTGGTCTGTCACTAGGACTCTGTGTCATCAAGAAAAGGTAACATCACATATACAAATATGTAATACGTGTTTGAAAAGTTTCATCTTACAATGAGTGAACGTTTCGGAAAAAGCTTTAGTATTAAAAGAAGTGAACGTCGGTTTCTTCAGACAATTTATTTGTGTCGAATACCTTTTCCAGTGGTAACTACATGAGTTGTTGCACTATCTTAAAGTCTGTGTGGTGTTTCAGACTTGCCACAGCATTGCTGTCCGTTGTGTCTCCAACCGAACGCGTGGTTGATGAGCAAGAAGGCTGGGAAATCCCGGCCCCTTTTTGAACAGTATGCCTCTTCTCTTAGAATCGAGTGAATGTGGCAGAGTCTAGGTGTGTGCGTGGGGATGTATACTTGGAATACCTACAGTTCGGGGTCTCCCTCCAGCCCCCCTTTCATGGAGGGAATACTTAGGAAATGTCTTTGAATTTCTATGCTTTAGATTGTATTGGGTCCCAGGCAATTCATATGTACGAAGTTATGCTATATAATTGTAGGCCATTACCAAAATAACCTACCAGGCTTTCCATCTGAGAAATAAGTAAATTAAACAGTTGTTATTAAAATAATTTTAAAGACTTTTTTTTTTTTTTCTGGGTAAATCTTGAAGTTTGTAATGAAATGAGAACTCTCAGTTACTGACTTACTACTTTCAATGAGTGCTTATAAAACCCAAATGCTTAGCTTAAAAAGTGATCCAGCTTCAATGTGGATTTAAATCCACTTCTGTTAAACCTTCATATTCAGATTTGCTTTCGGTTTTTTGTAGACCATCAGCATTGTGTTGAGTGCTAAAGAGGAGAAAATCCTCAAAAGCGACGAGGCTGAAGACCTACACGTTTTCTGGCTTACTGGTTGAATCAGATCTTCTCTCCCGTCTTCGCTCTGGGAAGAACATTTTCTTTTAGGGTGCAAACATTGTCGATACAGTTTAAAGGCATATTTTATGCTCGTTTTTGTGACCACAGAGACGAGGCAATCACTTCGTTCCTTAAAACCATTCCTTTTGGCAGTTTGGAGAAGCGTGTCAGTGCTCTCCGCCTGTGGGTTGCCCTTGCTGCCAGGACATACCGTCTTCGGCACCGGTCCTAGAAGTTGGCACAATGGAGAGAAGAGGAACGGGCTGCCCCACCGTGGCAGGACTTACAGTTCCCAGACATTTTGGTCTCAGGACCATAACTCGTACAGTTTTCAGGATGCCCAAAGAGCTTTTGTTTATATAGCTTGTACCGATCAGAAATTACCGACCGTATTAGAAGTTAATGCTGAGGCACCTAACAGACGTGTTCATTCATTTAAATATAACGATGATAAACCCATTGCATGTCAACATAAATGCCCTTTTTTAATAAAACATTGTTGTCTTCCAACAACAGTTAATGAACGAGAAGAACATTGTTTTATGTTTTGCCTGTCTCTAATGCCTGGCTTAAGAAACCGTGAGATTCTCCTACTACTTGGCATTCCGGCTGTTTCTGTATCACGTGGCATGCGGGCGCTGGGAAACTCCACTGTGCACTTGGGAAGTCATGAGTGAAACAGACCTAGAACGTCTTCGTATTGTTAGGAAAATAGTTTTGACACTTGGCTCTTGGGGACTTTGCACAAGTCCTCCAGCCACACTTGGAAAACCGCTGCGCTACACTTTTAAATTTCTGTAAGCATACCACTCCTTAAACTTCGAAGTGTTTTTCTTTGCGTGGTGGGAAAAATGGAAATTTGAGGTGAAACTGCAAACATTTTTAGTGTTGTTTTCTGGATTTTCTCCTATTTTTATTTGAAATCGTTTTAATAATGATGAAATTGGTGAATATTTCCTTGAAGGATATTACAAATTCAGGTATTACAAGTTATGGATGTTTATTTTGGAATCATTTACTATTCTGACCACTTTGAAATTGGGTAATTGCTTTGGGGGACTATCAAATAGCTATTTAAAAAATGTTTTAAATACTTTGCTGAAGAAAAATTCAAAGTGAATAGTTTTTTATCTCTTATGTTTATAGTTAATAATTTAGCTATAGTTAAAGAATTTTTTTAATGAAAAGTGGATTCCTCTCACTACCCTCCAGGAAGTGCACTGTTACAATTAAAGGAATATGTTTACTGATTAAGAAAGAGGTTTGCTATGGTTTTCCCACCGGTGGCTTTTTATACCTTGTTCGTTTTTAAAGAGAGCACTGGCTGTCGCTTCTCATTTAAACAAAATGTTTTAAAATTCGTTTGAAGTGACTTTTTAAAAGATGGTTTACAGTAATTAGTCACCACCAACTCTGGCTTTGTTGCTGCTGCTGCTGTTGGCATGCTCTAAAACATGCTTTTTAAAAAAAAAAATTTTTTTTTAATGTTTATTTATTTTATTTTTGAGAGAGAGAGAGAGAGAGCGTGAGCAGGGGAGCAGCAGAGAGAGAGAGGGAGACACAGAATCTGAAGCAGCTCCAGGCTCCGAGCAGTCGGCACAGAGCCTGACGCAGGGCTCGAACTCAAGAACCGTGAGATCATGACCTGAGCTGAAGTCGGACACTTAACCGACTGAGCCACCCGGGCGCCCCTAAAACATGCTTTTTTGAGATAATACCCCATTTCCATTCCCAGGCAGGCCCTGTGCCTTGCTTCTTGCGCCCTCTTCGTCCACACGTTTATGCTCCTTCTCTGAACTGGTGTTCAGAATGACTCGCCTCATCTTTGGCCTCCACTGACAGTTTCAGACTCCTATCAAAAAATCAATCCCTAGGAGAGCGTTGTGAAGAAGATCCGTTTTTAAAACCGTAATGACTTCAAAGTAATGTGGTGGTTTATTGAGCCCTTTCAATGTATGAGATGCTCGCTGAGTGCCCTTCACGTACTACACGATCCTGGAAGTGGATGCAAGGAGCAGGGCACAGGGAGGGTAAGCTGATGACAGGGCTGTTGCTCTGGGGAGCAAATACCTCGTTGCTGGGTTGAAAGGCTGTCCTATTTGTGTGTAAGTAGCCTTTAAAAAATTCTTTTGGAATTCCAAGAGCATGCGTTTCTATATCCCATATACCTAACACAGCTTCTTAATTTGGGTTGCATTCAGAATTTGATGAAATCAGCATACTTTACTCTCCAGGCTTTTTGGTAAACTTCACAAGTAAATTAATGAGGTAATTAGTGGAGCTTGTTTTAAACTGGAGAGGCATCTGAAGTATCACAGTGATTCCTATTTTGTGAAGCATTCCAACTCGGATGGCTAAGGTTTGTGCCCTGGACGGTTTTAACATTTCCTGTCTAAAGGATGCTGTTACTAAAATTTGTGTAAGATTAGCCTATCATACCGGATTCATCCTCGTTAGTTAATTTTTTCTTTGTGTATTTTAGCACATTATAATATCCTCAGTTAAAATTTTGCAGTGTGTATTTGAGCAAGTGAATATGTGACCAAGATGGAATTCTTAGTGTTGTGCTGGTGAGACTTTTTCAAATC